AAAATAAATATACGGGATATTAAAAAAAATTATCTGACATACCCTACTTTTTTTTCATGGAATGTGAATTTTAATCAAAAAGATATCGTATTAAACTTTTTTCAGAAATAGAACACACCCGAGATGATGTTTAAAATAGATTCAAGTGATTAAAAGAGTTTCGAATAGACTTAATCACATTAGAAAAAGGTTCAAATAATTAAAAAAAATGCAAGAATGCATTTTCTAAATTTTGTAAAAATTTTGGAATCTTTTTTAATGTTATATTTTTTTGGAAAAAGATTTTAAGTTGTTATCTTTTTAGATTAAATTATACAGGGTCTTCCATTTACAAAAAATGAAGTTAGATCCGATGACTGTTGTACCTGGCTTAGTGGTAGAAACTTGGACTACACAGAAGGGACGTCGGGTGTTCGAACCTGAGTTGAGGTGAATTTTTCATCTGTGGCAGAGATGGGAATTTCCTTAGATCAGTAATGAAATTGACAATAGTTTTATTACCCCCTTTGTCTTAGGCCAGCGGATACTCCCCCCCCCCCCCCCCCCCCCTTCAAAGAAACATGCATATCCAATTAGCAACCAATTAGTCTCAAATGTTGCTTTCCTTTTCCTATAGTGGTGTCAAGTAAAATTTTTGAAAATGGGGGAGGGGGGATGCTCATAGAAATGAATTGGTTCTACAAATTATAGATTTACTCCAAAACTCCTCGATATCAATAGGTGGGATGGGGATTGCTTGGATCTTTCATGGCATTTTAATTAAAGGTTTCGACAAAAGGAAATGTTTTCTACCAACTTCTACCAACCTTTTTTTAGCCCTTCCCAAAATAGGGAGCTGTATGGGGAGAGGGAGCATAATTGCTTTGATCCTTTATGGTACTCTAATGAAAGGTCTCAATGAAAAGAATACTTCCTTAAATCTCAAGAGCGGATTATTGGAGGAGAGTACTCACAAAGGCAAAATTGAAGTGAAGTTGAAGCGAATATCTTGAAAACGCCGTGTCGGAAGACACAGCTACTGATGTTCTCAAAACTTTCAGTGCAAATATCTTCAGAACGGAGTGTCGGAGATCAGACGTTGCATTGGTTGTACTATAAGATATCGCAGTTTTTCTAACCCTTTATGATCCTCCTATTCTTCATATTTTTTTATTTTTTTCAGATTTTGTCGCGTCTTGGGATTTTTTAAACTCTTTTATTCTTCCCGATTCTTTCTGGATTCTCATCAGGTTCTTTGGTTTCGTCTTCGAATTTCAATGTTTCCGATTCGTCGGATTCTTTATAATCTTCGGCTACTGTTTAGCTTAGTTAGATGCTTCGGATTCGTCAGATTGTGTTGATCCAGTTTTCAGGCTCTTGTAGAATGCGGTAGATACGCATCTCTGTCCTTAGTGTCTAATGTTGGTAGAATGAAGTGTAATTGCGTGCATGAATCCAAGATGGCGGTCGATTTTTCCTAATGAACTTTCCGTGCGCATTCAGAAAATACAAAATTCTGCAATTTCCACCAAGAAATATCGATGTAGAAAGCAATAATCAGGTCGGTAATAATAAAGAAAAGAGTAAGTCAGATGTAAGAAGTCTAAAAATAATTAAATAAAAATTAAATAAATAAAGTACATACCGAAAACGGCCTTAGAAATTGAAAAATATATCCGTAAACAGCGTCAGCGAAGTATCAAAAACAAAATCACAAGAGAAAAACTTCACCAAATTTATACAATCATATAACAGTTGAATATGTTCGTCTTTTACAAGGAAAGAAGTAAGAACCGCTGCGCGACCTCCGTCGGCAAAACAAGGAACTATTGTAATAAGAAATCTCCAACACTTCCATGGCTTCTAGTGGCGAAAATAAAGAACTAGGGTAAGAGAGATCGTAATAACAATAACAAATGTACTACCTAAATGGCGTAAGAATTTAAATAAGAGCACAAATTGAAGGTTACCTAAATGGAATTTAAATCGGTAAAGAAAAAAAAAATAAAAAGCTTCTATCGTGTTATGAAAATTCAGATAACAGATTCAGATTCTCTAAAAGAAAAGTGCCCATGTGAAGGTGCTAACGGGAACCGTCCAGTTTCGACCGTTTAAGCCAGTTTTTCGATGATATCTCGGATGTTTTAAAAGATTTTCCAAAAATTCCAAATCCGTTCTTTAGTAACAAAAAGGGGTACCTTGGTCCCAATTTAATTTACACTGTATCTCTCACCGTTGCGGACATTTCAATGGTGGGTCACGAATTTGAACCACCATATGTATAATGTCAAGTTGGCTTACAGTTTTATATGTGTGATTAGCCTAAAGTTCCAATGATCGGACGCTGTTTAAGTTTTCTTCACCTTCGTAGTCTGTTGCGGGAATTATTTATTATTATTTATTTATTATCCACAGCTTGGAAAGATCTTGAGTTAAGGTGACTGAGAGCTTGTGCGAAAGACCAACTTGCCGATTACTGAAAGGTCAATATAAAGCAAAAGAACATACGCAATGGTGACTACTTCCTGGGGGTTTTATGGTATCTCGATCTCGATTTCGATTATGTCTTTTGCCAGAGTGGCACGATTATTTTTTATTTGGAGAACAGCCATAGAATCCCCGGTACAATGCAGTGTTCGGGCTCTGTTTTAAGCCCTAAAACGCCAGCAAATGTTACCTACTAATTTATCGCGGATATTGTTTTAAACTAATGGCTTAATTTGTTTTCCCGTTTTTAGGCTACGTAACAAAACGTCCCACAAATTTTTGTTTTATTTCAACTCTAAGATGTCGAATCTTTGCGTTTGTACCCCATGTTACTAATTTTTTACTTGAAATTCTTTGTACGTGTTTTTAGATCGCCTTCCCTACATCTTCTCTTTTGTTCTCTTTTTTCCATTTGCTACTTTACACTGAGTTTTCCCCCAAAAAATGGAACCATCGAAATTGGAAAGAAGTTTTGTGACCCGATTTTCCGTAGATCCAGAAAATTTGTCTAAGATAATTACTAAGTTGTTTTTTTAAAAGAATTCTACGATTGCTAAGATGTATTTCAAGAAGAAGAGTGTGCAATATTCGACAAACTACTGTACGAACTTTCTATTAACATTTGAAAAGAAGATTTTAAAGATTTCAAAGGTCACGGTTTTTAAGAAAATATTTTGTGCATTTGTTGCTGCTGATCTTCAGACCTAAAAACCCAAGTGCAAAAATATTATTAGAGTCTAATTAAAGAATTATTGAACCATAAACAATGTACGTGCGTTGGAATAAAACAAAAACCATTGAAAAGGTGGTGTACCGCAAGGTGCAATATTAGAACCACTATTGTTTAAAATGGATTCAGGATCATTTTTATACAGTAAAGTGTTCCAGATTTGAGTTTTTTATATGCTGTGGATATTTATAGATTTTTACGATTTTAACCTTGACACCTATAGCACAATATTTACATGTACCAAATAAGCTACTGGCTTTTCGTGGAGGCACGTGTGCTGGGGAAAGGATGACGAACCCCTCAAACAGAATCATAAATTGCATCTAAATTGATCTCGAGCCCGTACTTACCGAATGTAATTTATTATATACGAACGAGTTTTTGAAAGATGGAAGCCGTAGCAATTATGTCCCGATAAGGAAGAGGTTTATAGATTTTTAATGCTCCAGGATTGAAATAAAAATCGGTTACGTAATGAGCGCGCGCGTAATTATTTAAGACCGCATTAAATAAACTGGCGCTAATTATTCTTGCTGCGCAACTAACTCTTAAACGCCATTAAAGTCGTTTCAAAAGGTTGAAATGTGCACCTGTTGTCGAATTAATGACAAAATAGATTTTAAAATAGTAGCCGAGTTAATTGAACATAGGTAGAGAAATCAAATGTAGGAGTTGTTACTTCAATTCCTATCAACCTGTCATTATAAGTTACATGCTTACCTTATCTGTTAATCTACATACATTATTAGCTTGTGCCTTTCAGCGTCCGTTTGGCTCAAATTTATCTTAATCGTATTATGGAACCATTGAATAATTAATGCGGACGTTGTTTTCATAATCGAATCTCGAGAGAAAAAAAATGTGGCGCTCTAGCTCCCACATTTACAGTGCGGAGGTGAGGAATGAGTTTAGAAGACTATTATTACCGTTTCTGCCCACAGGATTGAATTTTTCCGTTTAAGTCGGTTTCATTTTGCCGCCTAAAAGAATGTCGAACTTATTACATAACAATTGCGAAAGCATAAATATCACTTTTACAAATATCTATCGTGTCCAGAAGGAAGTGATGAAATTATTGCCCCTAAACCTAAACGTAAATATAACATAGAATGTTTTTTTTTAATAGACTGATTTATAACAGCAACAATGCAATGGCGCTTTGTGCACGTTCTAGAACATTCGCTACAATATTATTATTTTGGAACTATCCTCCAACAACATCCATGTGAGTTAAATAACGGTGATGAGGTGATCCACAAGGTAGGTAACGTAATCGGCAAACGCAAATAATGACGATGGCTAGAGTAGCCAAAATACTTGCATTGCGGTCCATGATCGACTGCGTTAATTAATGTGAGTTTAGCCTACCTCCGTTTAATAAGAGGGTTAATTAAAAAACAATATTACGGTAACGGTTTAAAATAAATAATAAAATTTTAAAATAAAAAGTCCTGAAACGCACAATTAACAAATGATTAAAGAAAATGGCCGCTACGTAATTTCAATTATATCCTCCACAATGAGAGTTAAGTGTTTAGACTCGAGCCGAAATGACCTACTTCGAGAATTATAAAACATCCGGTTAATCGCCATAAAATGCAATTACTAGTCGTTGAATTGCGATGAACACAACTATTCTTAAAATGTGCCAACCAACGGGTACTTGCAAGGAAGAAGGGCAGAAATGAAAAACAGTATACTAGCATGCACTACTATTACCACTCTAATTCGAGATTCTGTATGAAACAGCACAGATAACTGCAGACTGTGAAAAATGAAGTCTTATACGTTTCTTTTGTTTCAGGATAAAAATGCCTATTCAGGATCAGCACCATCTGGTTGGCCCCTATCTTTGGGCGCATCGGGTATAATCGTCCACCTCGGCCCGTTATCGTCGACGTTAGTACGTCACGCGGATTGCTACGTTTGCATACGGACACGAAGCGCGCCCGGTCTCGAGCTAGCCCTTATCTGGCGAAATTCCGCCCAATTTCACTGCCAAACGATCGGGGAATTCAAAAGTCCTCTACACAACTTAGATGAAATCATGTGCTCAACCCTTCGGTCCGTAATGGATGTCGAAAGTCTTGCCATAGACGATTCGGAGGGGATCGAACTGCCCGAGCTCCTGCAGAATCTGCTCATATCCGTGGAGCACGCCATCGAGAGGGTGCCCCTCGACGATCTCGCCAATCCCTGCCCTCAGTGCTTGCAGTACGTGCCTTTGGAACAGCAGGAGCAGACTTCCGGCGATACGGTCTGTTCGTGCCAGTGCTCGTGCCGATCGCCCGAGGCCGTGGTGCTCAAGAAAGATACCTCGATACAAACCAGTCCGATGTTCGAGTTCGCCGGCCCAATTCCGCACATCGATAGTGACGAGGATGAAGATCGAGAGTCGACAAAAACAAGTAGGTGAACCTTTTTAACGAGGACTTAATTTATTGCTAATCCATTATGAAGATCTGCACGTCGATACCATCTGAAGATCTATGATAACCAAATTAGCATATTCCAATTAGCGATCCGCCGACTTCGCATGATATAAAACATAATGCCGGTTTTTGTTTCCGGGTGAAAATTGTACGAGCAGGTAGATTCGACATTTCAAAGTCGTGAGGCCCAAGAGCGACTCGGATCGGATCAGCTTTTCTGTTCTGTCATTATGCATCATGCGATTAGCCCCACTTGGCGTAGTATTTGTTTTATTGTGCGCTCGTAGGATTTCATTAGCATAATTGACAACAATCTTCATTAACATACCGTTTTCTTACACTTTATTCTGACGTTTACACTTTGAATATAATATCGTTACGTTCTTAATGAGAGCGTGTCGTTCCGAGTTGAGATTTTACGTGTTTTATTGCGAGTTACAAGTGTTAACAATTGTGGGTAGCGAACTAGTTGCATAAGCTTTGATGCATGCATGCAGTTCAATGTTTGCTGTCGATGAGAATGCAGAATTCATTACTACCTCAGATTAACTGACAGCATTTGAACTCTTTTCTGCTCTAACTCGTCTTGGTCAATCCTCCATTTTTAAAAACGCCACATCATTAGTAAATGCGGTTCAGATACCTTAAAAAAATCATAAAAATTAGTAACACCATGATGATATTGTGCTCATACACAGGAAAAATAAATTAAAGTCGATCCGACAGGGGGACGATCAAATGGAGTTGAGCTAAAGGCAATTGCAGAAATAGATTTAGACAATTTGTTGCCCAATTAGCCATATATAGTAGATAATCAAATATGGAATGATGCTTTGATCGTTTCTTAAATCGCTTACAGCATTATTGGTTATCATGAGGACTTTTAGGTATGATGAAGAGATATTAAATTCGGCCACTATTTTCCTTAAGTTTCTTATGGGATTCTTTTCCACAAAAATTACAATATTCAGCTTCATATACTCCGTTAAAATTTACGGTTGTTTACGGTGTCTTATGGGGATCGAATACACAAACTACGGTAGTCAAATTGTGTGCGGACAAAGATAATGGAAATTGATCCGAGGGCAACCCATAGAAATGAGTGCATAACATCATAATGGAAATAATTACTCCAGAGCAAACATGCTCGAAGGCCAAATATGTTATACTCCAAACAATTGACAAGAGCCGTCTACGAGAATATCCTACACGATAGTTCTCTTGCGATAGTCGCGCCATTCCGCGGCGAGGCAAGAACTTATCGGACCGGCCTCGTAGATGCAAATTTCAGATTTACTACAAACTCCTCGTCCCCATATTAAACTATCCTGACAATAACCGCATTTCCCTGAAATGTCCAACAGTTACCTTGAAGCAATATTGGTTATGATACTAACACTCAATCTAATTTAATTTAAGTTAAACCTATTTCATTTTTAAAGAGTATTGATATATTCAATAAGATTTAAGTTAGAAGGAGGTACGTGAGGCGAAAGACCAAAAGCAGTCGAAGCCTTTATCACTGAAAAAAAAAGTGAAACGTATGGTGACGATGAAAGTAATTCAAAAATTTATTTGGATGTCCAGATATTTTTAGTGCCTATCGCCACTCTTCCTCAGTGGAACTACTGTGTAAAACATGTAATTTAAGCAATTCTAATAAAATTAGGGAGTACTTACAATGTGAGATGAAAAAAATTATCAAAGTCCTCGTGTGAGATCGAAGGGACTTCAGCGCATTTTTGTGTGGCAGATCAGTATTCTATTAGCCACTTTTGACTCAACCATGAATAAAAGTCGAATGTCGAAGGCTACCACATTCCCTTTGACGATACCCACTTCCGACGTCCCGTTCACCCGCAATTCGCGTTTGAAGATTTGACTCCACCATCAGTAAGATCGTGTTGGGGGCTACCACATTCCCTTTGTTGGTACCCACTTCCGACGCCCCGTTCACCCCAAATTCGCGTTTGAAGTTTTCACTCCACCATCAGTTAGATCTTGTCGGAGGCTACCACATTTCCTTTTTCGGTGCATACTTATATTACACCCACATTTTGGTGGATTTCGCTAAAAACCTTCCACAAGATAGTACTTAATTTTTGGGAGGCACTTCTCATTGCTCGAGCTTCTATTGGCGACACGAGAAAGAGAGACAGCGATTCGAGATTTACGAAACGTTAAAACGCGTGACAGAATTTGCAACGGAAGGTCAAAGGTGCCCGAAGTTGACTACCTCTCGAAGACGCGCGCGCGAGCCTTGCAAAAGGTCGTTAATTTCGCCCCTAGGACAAAAAACAAAATTCCGCCACGCAGGAATTGTGTGCGTTTACAACATCTTTCCGACGACACCAATTTGAAAAGAATCGGACCAAAACTGTAGTAGAAGATAGGAAAAAACTGAAAAACCTTCACGTTAGTATACTACGCTCGAGGATGACGCCCAGATGTCGCCAACCCCACATCATGTAGCCCTGTCCCTAAGGTTGACAAATTACACGGCCTTGTAGATACACGTACACCCGTTGCCTTTCTACAAGAGTTCTTCTACGCGCCCACATTTGCTGCCAGCCAGCCAGCCAGCCAAAGTGAGATTAAAAGCTACTTTTACAAATAAATTTGCAAAAATGCGCCTAAAAAGTCCAAGATTCCTTTGAATGGTTAAATGGCGACATGTGCCAAATTTTGTAATCAAAACATCAGACAAACACTAACAATTAAAAGCACAGGATACTAAATGAAGTGATGGTAACATCCACATGTTGTCAAATTTTTGAATTACTTTCATCTTGGCCTAATTTACCCTAATAAACACCACCAATGCAACCCTAACGAAGGCCGATTACTTCCCGTCAGTTAAACCTATGATTTTACTAAGAGGTAGTCCTGTAATTGACTTTATTTTTTCGAATTTTTTTGTGTTCTCTAAAGTTCTATTTAATTCAAATTTTTCGTCAGTGAATTCTTAATGGAGTTGATGATCTATATTTTGTGAGCCAATAGTTTACCGGATACGTCGTGACCGGCTAACGGCCTAGGCAAAATAGTCCAGGCTAAATAGCTCTAAAATGATTTATTTTCAAAAAAAATTAGTTACCGGGCGAAACCGGGTTTTTTTATGCAGGTGAAATGAATAGAAATTGGGAAAAAATAATTAAAACAGCTGAATTTTTCCGCGGGTGAAATTACGGGGGTTGAAATGGGGGGAAAGTGGTATTTTGCAAATTGTGGCAAAACTATTGATTTTAGACGAAAATGTTAAATGTAAAAGTTATAGAGATTAAAAAAATGAGCAACTTTTGTATCTACACTATTTTCACATAACCTCAAAACTGTTTTCTTCGTTTTTTATTCTTATTTTTGCGAAAAAATGTCGTAGGGGTTTGAAATTTGGAGGTAACATAACCTGTTTTATGATAAAACAGAAGATAATTGTTTGGGCCTATAAAGTTGAACCGTTTCCAAGATCTCACGATTTCTGTAAAAAATCACCCCGTTTTTGCCGCTTTTCTTGAAATTTTTCTATTGGAATAATATTTTTTATTTTTGATTATTAAAATGTGTCGTTACGAAAATTTTGCTACCCCGCGCACCTCTGTACGATGAAAAAAAAAATAGATTTTTCATCCCCTTGAAAAAGAGGTGATTTTTTTCAGAAATCGTGAGATCTTGGAAACCGTTCAACTTTATGGGCCCAAAGAATTATCTTCCGTTTTATCATAAAACAGGATATGTTACTTCCAAATTTCAAACTCCTACGACATTTTTTCGCAAAAATAAGAATAAAAAGCGGAAAAAAAACAGTTTTTCCGGTTTTTCTAGAAAAATTGGAGGTTATGTGAAAATAGTGCAGATACAAAAGTTGCTCATTTTTTTAATCTCTATAACTTTTACATTTAACATTTTCGTCTAAAATCAATTGTTTTACCACAATTTGCAAAATTCCAATTTCCACCCCTTTCAACCCCCGTGATTTCACCCGCGGAAAAATTCTATTCATTCCACCTGCCTGAAAAACCCGGTTTCGCCCGGTAACTAATTTTTTCATACAAAAATATTATATAGCCTGGACTAAAATTATTAGAGCGCCAGTCTGACGGGCGGTAACACAATCTTAATATCATTTACGTCACCAAACCAGATAAATAAGAAACTCATGGCGATGTCATCGAGCAGTGTGACAAGCGCTGAATTGGTTTTTAAACGGCATCAGGAGCTGATTTTGATTAATGGTATTTACGCACACGGGTGCCGAAGTCTATTGGCTAATATTTAAAGATTTAGCCTCATTTTGAAGGTGGTTTTTGTAAAATTAAAAACGACTAGGGACGCGAGTAGCGCATTCGGTTTTGGGCCACGAGTTTTGGCCACACGTGGTTGCTAAAGAGTAAACTTCGTAAGCGCGATAGAGTTTACACGGGTCGCCGCGAAAATAATCCGAATACGTGTTGGGATTACGTCAAATTTGTGTAGCCCAACGTTAATTTTAGTGCAAAATATGTGAAGTGAAGGGAAAATTTTAGATACTGGATGGTTCAATGAAGTTAGTACTACATTTTGGAGGGCTGTAGAAGAAGGCCGAAATTGATCGAGTTATCTAAATTTTAATGTATGTCGATATTATAACAAGTTAAAAACGTGGTCACTCGTGATCGACAAACGCGTATTTTTGCCGTACATAATCAGTAATAACTCGAGAAGGAAGTGACTCATCTAAAAAATCTTTTATCGTTCTGGTCTCGGGACTGTACTACACCGAATAAGAAAGAAACCACAACGAAAAAGCTTAAACTGGAGGACTAGTAGTGGTACAGACAGGCAAACAAAGTGCGGACAATAGCGTTGAATTTACTTCGCTAAAAACTTGATAAAACCTAAATATTCACTTTACCACGAAGAAAAAGCAAAAAGATGTCCTCTAAATCACGTTGTTTTTTCCCTTTTATTAAATTCGGCAATTTCGAGAAGGGAAAGTT